CAGAGAGGGTATTTAATCCATTAAAAATCATATGTTTGACAAATAATTTTTATTTTTAGTCCAAATTATTCTCCTCTGTTCACTGAGCAAGAGGGTACTTTTCTTTTATTTTTATAATTTTTCTATAAAAAGATATAAATTTTTGAAGTTTAGGTGTTTAAATAATTCAAAAATCCCTATTTTTCTACTTATCCAGCGCGACGCTAACTGGATCCTAGGCAACTCAGAAAGAACACATGACACTCTGCCATTTGACGCTGCCATCCCCCTCAGCTACCACGCGGACCACATTTTATGCACCAAGAGCTTGTCCGACTTGATCTCCTCCGTCCATGGGATACACGTGCGTTCAGACGACTCTCTGTTATCGTCCTCAAGTGACCTAACCCATGAGCCGTTGACACTAAAATCTTAAGATCTTGGTCTAGACTCAACCAAATCACATGAGGTTTGTTCCTAAACCTTCATAAACTCGAGACGAGCATATCTATACGGCTTATATGATATAAAATACAGTAAATACGTATGGAGAATAAAAATAAGCTCAGGCTAGGGTTGAAGCTCAATACCTTTATCTTAGAGAGGAGGCCTCAATTAGATGGTTGTGGTAGCTTTGATTGGACCCAAAAAACCTCCGGATGAAGTCCTAAGCCTTGGTGAATTGTCTAGGTATGATTTCGATCAAACTCGATTTTAGGTGTTGGTCTAGAGCTAGGTTAGAGGCTGTTTGAGAGGGGGCTTTTGAGGGGGATCAACTTCTCTCACTGTGGGGATGGTGCGTGCATAGTTAATTGAAGTTTGGTGTAATGTGCAGGTGTGGGGAAGAATGTCCTAGTTTCAACCTGATTTTGAGCTCAAAATTGAACTCTCACAAAGAGAACCAGAGGGGGAAGATGGTTGGATTGAGCTTAGGAATGCTTGGAGAGTCTCTGGTTAGATTTTGACTGAGCTTCCCCAAGGATTTTGGTTAGCTCTTCTTTGGCCATGGAGGGGGCTGATTAAATTGAAAGGCTTGGGCTAGCCACCAGGGTCAACTGGTGGGTGCCAATTTATGCTTAGGTGGAGGGATGGAGAGAACTAGTGACCAATCAGACTTGGCCAGCTGAGGTGAGTTTTATTTTGAGTTTTGGCCAATGGGGGCTCCTTTGGGTGGCTATTGTCATTAGCTGAGGAGGTGGTTGGCCAGGGTTCAGTCACTTCTTATCTCTGGGAGGTCAGGGGAGGGTTAATTATGATTTACTCCCAATGACAAGAGATGATGGCAAAGTATTTTCAAATGAGGCCTAAATATGGTTAAGTTCCCTTAAATCAATTGACCATTTGTCTATAGCTCACTTGGGTGGTTTAAGGTGGTTTAGCCTGGTCAATAAGGTGTGCTAAGTAGCTGTGGAAACCTTAAAACCTTAATTTGGTAATTTGGTGACTTTAGGATGGCTACGTCAATTTTGGTGCATGGGTCCAATTTGGGTCAACATGGCTAAAAGTTAGGTTGGGTTAGGCTAGCCATGACTTTGAGCTCAATTGATTGATCAACATTGTGTAAATGATTGTCATGAAGATTTTTGGTGCAGGATTAAAATAATTTTAAATTCAGATGGAAGCTCAATTTGAAGGATTTTGGGATTTTTGTGAAATTGGGCATGTTGGACTAGACTTGGGTTTAGGATGTTGGACTAGACTTGGGTTTATGTTGGACTAGACTTGGGTTTAGGTTGGGATAAGTCCAAATTGATGGTTGAAAATGGTCTATAGGAATATAATAAAGAGTTTTCAACATAAATTAGGTGCGAATTTTGGGGTTAGGGCATCCAATTTGGTGGAATTTGGAGACAACCAAATTGAGGCAAATTTGGGGATTTTGAATGTGGGTTAAAATTGTGTGAAATTGAGGCTTGAACAAGGCCAATTGAAGCTCCAATTTGATGTGTATGATTTTCAGGAAGAATTTGGGATTCAAATTGGGCAAATTGATTAGACTATGGGGTTCAATTAAGTAAGATTAAGTCATAGGGCTAAAATAGGGGGTTTGACTTAGATCAAAATTAAGCTCAAAGCATGGGCCAATTAGGCTTGGATTTGGTTTTGATTGATCAAATGAAAGATGAATTTGAGTTCAGAATTGAAATTGATAGAAATTGGGGCAAAATTGATGGGCAATTGATGGGTAGAAATTGGGGCAAAATTGATGGGCATTTGAGGTGAATTTGGGGAAATTAGGCCTTTAAAGGCAATATGGGGGTTTGGTCAAAATGGATAAATTGGCCAAATTAGGTTCAATTGAAGGGTTGAAATTATTTTGAAGGGTTGAAAATTAGGTTCAATTGAAGGGTTGAAATTATTTTTGGAGACATTTGAAGTGATTTTGGAGGTTTTGGGAAAGTTTGGGGTGCCAAGGGTATTTTTGTAATTTTGGCAAATTTGGGGGTATTTTGGTAATTTAGAATTTTTGGGTGGTTTTAGGTAATTTGGTTATTTTGAATTGGTTTGAAATGATTTTTGAACAAATTAGGGTATTTTGGGTGAATTTGAGGCTTTTGGCTGAATTTGGGGTTCTAAGGGCATTTAGGTAATTTGGGTGTATTTAGGGGCAAAATGCCAAGTTGGACATTTTAGTAGAATTGGGGTGCCAACCACCCTATATGAGCTATGGACCAATGAAATCCTCATTTGGGTCTTCTATGTACTGGTCTTAGCTAAACCCTAGCCTAGGGCTAGTGGGTCTAGGGGACCATCTACATGAGTCTCCCAAAAGATTAAGGGATCAAAGTCAACAATTTTGGGTTTTAGGCTTGTGAGTGATTATGGGTGATAGTGAGTATAGTGAGTGAACAAGCTCCAGACCAACACCCAGAGTCAAACTTAAGGTCAAGCAGTCCTATAGGGACTCTTCTTGAGATCCCCCATAAGTGCTAGTGGTTGGAAACAATATGTGGAACTTCAAGTTGAGCAAGAAAGAGTTTAGATTTTCTAATGGTGAGGGTTCCTTTCTAGTTTTCTAGGAATAGTCAACAGAAAAGTCCTATAGCTAGACCCTAGGCTACTAAAGTGGGAAAACTAAACCTCAACCAAAGGTGAGTTCAACAAATGGACCCCCAATAGGTGTCGTATGATGGGCAAGCACACCGCGCATATTGGCATTGACCGACAAGATCAACAAAACCAATACAGAATCCTAAGTGAACAGACATAGAAGGAGTGTAGAATTTGAGTGCTTGTTGTTCCCGTTGGGGAATTAACATGTGCATATCTGATTGAAATCAAGGAGTAGGAACTCTCACTGGGGATTGGAGAGTGAGCTTGAAATTATTAAGTTTCAAATGTTTTCAGAGGATGAGAATCAGTATTTAGGTGCTAACCCCGAGATGGGAATTGAAATTTAGGTATCAATCTCAAAAAAAGAGTAGAAATTTATGTACCGACCTGAAAGATTGGGAGTAGCATGCCATGTTCCATTTAAGGGGCAAGGGGTTCTTATACCAATCTCGAAGATATGTGCAGAGAATTGGATGTCGTGTCCCATTTAAGGGGGTCTTCTGCCAATCTCAAAGATATGTGTAGAGAATTGGATGTCGTGTCCCATTTAAGGGGGTCTTATGCCAATCTTGAAGATTTGTGTAGAGAATTGGATGTTATGTCCCACTCAAGGGGTTCTTATACCAATCTCGAAGATATGTGCAGAGAATTGGATGTCGTGTCCCATTAAAGGGGGTCAGATGTGTGTAGAGAATTGTATGTTGTGTCCCATTCAAGGGGGTCTTATACCATTCTCAAATAGGTGTGTTGAGAATTGGATGCCATGTCCCTTTCAAGGGGGTCTTATACCAATCTCAAAGATGTATGTAGAGAATTGGATGCTGTGTCCCATTAAAGGGGGTCTTACACCAATATCGAAGATGTGTGTAGAGAATTGGATGCCGTGTCCCATTCAAGTGGGTCTTACACCAATCTCGAAGATGTGTGTAGAGAATTGGATGTTGTGTCCCATTCCAGTGGGGCTTACACTAATCTCAAAGATGTATGTAAGGAATTAGATGCCGTGTCCCATTCAATGTCCCATTCAAGGGGGTATTACGGGTATTACACCAATCTCGAAGATGTGTGTTCCATTAGGAAGGGAAGCTCGATGCCTCAAATCTGACAAAAAAGGTGATAGAGAGCTGTCAATATATTTGTAAGGAAAGCTCCGTGGCCTATATCCAACCTAGGAAGTAGTGGAAAGGAAACTAGCGTTTCAGTACTGGCTCCGAGAACAACTCGAATGTAGTGCAGGAAGTTTGTGGTGTTGAGCTCATAAATGTGTTTCATGTGAAAAGGATGACATTGGTGACAAAAATATGTGGAATTTTGTAAGGTTTTGTGCAGAATATGAAATTCTGCGGGTATTGTGAAGAGAATTAGTGTAGACAAGGACAATCATGCTGTGCGAGCAAAGAGTAAGAAACCTCAAAATTGAGAGAATCAACTCAACAAATTTATTTTCTTTTCTTATTTATTTTATCATATTTAATTATCAAAATACATATTCAAAATTCAATTTTTTTTGTTGGTTGATTTTTTTAAAAAATATTTTGTTTGAATTTTATTATTATCAAGTTTGTATTATTTTGTTCTTTGTTTATTATAGCTTGGAACCAACGTATTGTTCCGTGACTTTTATCCATCTTACAAAAAGGCAATTGAACAAACAAACAAAAATTTTAAAAGAGATTTGATTAATATGCTTCAAAAAGTGTTACAGATTGAGTACAAGACAAAGCCTCAAAAGGTATAATATGTTAAATGCATCAAACTACATATGAATAATATCTCATGTTGGGTACATATCACAAGCTGAGCACATATGATACATATGTCATCATATCTGCTATGTCAAAATGCAGTACAAAAAGTTGTCTCCTGAGTGTCCATCTTCGGTGGAGTGGGCTTCTGATCGAGCTGACTTAATAAGCCACGCTCCAGGACAAGAGTTCCCTTTGCATGTGCTTAGAGGTGCAACCCTCTCATAGCTCGAAAGGCAGTAGCTCTTCCAACTCCGAGTCTGACCGAAATCCATATGGAATTTTGTTGTCATCCATTCTTCGGAAAGTTACAGACACCTTGCGGTGTTGTACCCCAGATATGCAATGTTTGGTGATGTCTCCTCCATTTCCTTTAAGAACAAGCACTGAACCCACTGGTAGTGGAATCTCCACAGATCCTGTGAACTCGCCGGGTCCAATGACATCTATTTCATTCTCAAATAAAGTGTTGCTTCTGCTCATGAAAGAGACTATGCAAAAAGATCTCACAAAATCATGATGGTCTATATGTGTGGGAATGTAGTCGTCTTCATCGTAAATATTGATGATACAACTGTTGGGAATCCAATCAGCTGGAAGTATGCTCCATCGGACCATTCTCTTGATCATCCATTTTATCATGGGAGGTAACGGGTCCACCTCATCGTGTCTCAAAATCCCTGAGGAATTTCCTTGTCTGTTTTTAGTGAAGTTGTAACAACAGCCACATTGTATGGTAATCCTGCTCTTTTCACTCATCCATTTTGATGGCTCAGAATAGGTTCTTCCCATAAGAAGGCTTGCTCGACCCCTATCTCTTACATTAATGATGCAGTCAAGAATACTTCTTTCGTCACTTTCGGAGAAGTCTTTGGTGTACAACTCTAAGCCTTCTAGTATGTTGATGAATCTTCCCTGAACTTCTTCATAAAATTCAAACTCCCTTTTCTACTTTAATCAATTTATCAAATTCTGCCATGGTGATCAACAACAACTATCGAGGGCACTCCCTCATTTCAATATTAGCAGGAATCCATGCTGGTGTTGTCTCTATATCCAACAAAATATATGACTCCTACATCGGGTGATCAGTGCTCTGAAATCTATCATGGGTGGACGTGTACTCCTCCAGACTACTGTAATGCTCTAGGTGGAGGACATTACAGTCTAGGCATTCCACAAACTTCCCTGTAGCTGGTGTCCGTGTAGGAATCTTGGCATTGCATGTCGGGCAACCCGTACAAAGATCATCTGAAGCTCCTGGTACCTCCGACTCTGTAGCGAACTCCGACTCATCCTCTGTGGTAGGCAAGCTGGAAGAGGTCTCTCTCATGTCTAGATCGTAGATTTTCCCCTCAGGAATAAGTGTAAGAAAATTTTTTGTCTCCGTATGGCGTCTTCTTTCTTCAAGCAAGAAAGCTCTATGTTTTTGACAATTGGCGTTTCTGCTTTGAGTTCTTTGTAGTGGTGCATCTGACAGTTTTTCGTCATTAGCAGTGACTAGGCCTCTAGTTGGTGCAGTTAGCATAGGCGGCAGGAGTCTAGTCCCCTCGATTAGAGCTTGTTGTATTATCACTTTCTTCCCTTATAGTGAGAAATTCTCTGTGGTGCTGATCTTTATCAGTGATGGTAGTGCTTGTTTTTCCTGATTTCTAACCACATCCATTAGGGGACCCTCATAGTCCATGTCGACTTGACTGAAGTCCATGTCAAAGTCTATGGTGCCACCTTGTCTGAAGTCCATGTCAAGTCCATGTCAAAGTCTATGGTGCCACCTTGTGGTGCCCTTTCTTTGTTAAGTGCGAGGTTCCAGCCATTTTTAAAAGCAAAAATCAGCCTCCGTTCTGACAGTCTCTCTGCAAACGACAGAAATAACATCAGCATGCTGAAATTTAGCAAGAACAAGAACAAAACAAAGTGCTTATTAAACAAAATTTTATGTTATATTAGTGAGAAAATTATTTATTTATATTTTGCTTAATCTAGTAAAATATTAAACTTAAAAGTAGAAAGAAGAAAATCAAAGTATGTAACTTCAAAAGTTTTCATTTTATTGAGGTTAATTTTATTACAAAAATTTTTGGACTCGGTCACAGAAGTTTGGCCAAACAAATAACCCTAGAATAATGAAAATTTCAAAATTTAAATTTAGGCAATGTCAACTTGTATAATATGTCTTCAAGTATCATCCGTTGATTGGCAACATGGGTCTTTCACCCCGAAAATCCACTAGCTGGTAGGCTCCTCCTTCGTAGACCATTTCTACGACAAATGGTCATTCACAAGTTGGCTCAAAATTTCCACCTATCTTGCAGTGTGCAACTATAGGCCTTTTGAGCACAAGTACGAGATCCCCAATTTTGAATGTCCTTGGGCGGACCAATTTGTCATGAGCTTATACCATCTTCACCTGGTAAAGTTCCAAATGCCATTGTGCTTCTAGTCATTTGCCTTTAAGACTTTCCAATTCTTCAAGTCTGAGTTTTGCACTTTCTTCTATTGTAAGCTGATTGACGACAGCGACTGAGAGATGGCTTCTGGACTTCTAGTGATAGGACGGCCTCAGACCCGTACA